GGGCGGCGCCTTCTTCGGGCTGCACGCGGGCTCCGGGCCTCGGGCGGCCCAGGCGCGCTACTCGGCGCCCCGGGGCAGCAAGTACGTGGTTTTCTACCTGGACCTGTCCTTCATTTTCCTCCTAGAGCTGAAGCGCTGCAGCATGGCGCGCGGCTGCCTGCAGGGCGTCAAGTACCTCATGTTCGCCTTCAACCTGCTCTTCTGGGTGAGTCGCGCGCACGTGAGCTTCGGGGGAGGGGGCTCGCCGCTGGGCCCCCGGCCTGTACCTCTCGCACCTCCTGTCTCCTCCCCCACGCTGCCCCGCCCCCACGCCCCCACTGCACTTTCTCGACTCTGTGGGGAGTCGCGCTGGCCCTGAGGCGCCGAGTCCTGCTGGCGAGGGTGACTCGCACAGGCAGCGGTGAGCTGGGGAAGCCCTTGGCTTGTCCGGCCCCCTTGCGGCAGCAGAGCGCCCCAGATTTTGGCCGGGTGCCGCGGGGTTTGCTCAGATGTGCTGGGGGGTGTCCCGGGTGGGTCTGCACCAAGCACACCAAGCAGAGGGCCGCTCCCTCCCACCCGGATGGGGGCAGAGTTGTCACCCCACAGCACTGCTACAGGGTCAGCTAGGCCTGGACGGGGAGGCGGCCTGTGGGGCCCGGTGAGCCTAACTGCAGGGCTCGGCCTGGGGGGCTTCGCTAGTGGAGGCTTGGGGGAGAAACAGCCAAGGTCATTCCAGGGTCTGTTACACTGCAGAGCCAGCTGTCTCCCCCGCGACGGGGTGAGGGGTGTGGCTCATCTGTGCAGGATATAGTTCAGGCCACGTTTGCCGAAGACTGGGTTTGTCTTCTTTCCCTCCCATCTTTCCTGGCCTTGGCTGTGATGGGGTGGGGGTCACTGGGCCAGTGGTCACAGCTTGGGCTGCCTGTGGGAGTGACCTGAGAAGGCCTCTCTCTGGGTCTCCTGCGGGAGGGGTTGCCCCCAGTGCTGCTCCCCTTTGCGAGGCTCCTGGGAGGACTGAGATGAGACCAGGGCAACAGGGCAGGTATGGTGAGCTCTGCCGGGTGCTGGGCAGCGTCCAGGGCACTGGCATGGTAGTGTCCCGCACCTGTTGGGCTCAGCAGGGTTTCCCAGGCAGTATGATGGGGTGGGGGATGCTGCAGGTGACAGTGTGACGGGGGAGCAGGGTGTAGGGTTTGCAGGGACAGCATGACCAGAGCTGACAGTCAGAGGTGCCAGCATGCAGGGTGGGTGGCAGGTGACGTGTTGAGTGGGTGGCTTTGGCTGGCATTCTGTAGGGTCAGCAGGCCCCTGCCACACCCCTTCTCCTCCCTGTCTGGACACCACCCTCAGGGGGATGGAGGGGGTCCTCCAGGGAGTCTCTGCCTGAGAGCAGCCCAGCCCATAGGGCCCAAGTGGGGCTCCCGGCCTCACTGCCAGCTGCAGAACGGACCCACCCCACTGCCCAGCCTCCTGCCCCTGGAGAGAACAAGCCCACAGCCTGCGGGGACATCTCGGTTGGAAAATAGTGCCTTTATGATCCGGCATAACCCCTAGTGCTGATGTCCAGTACCAGCACCAGCACCAGCCTCTCCCATCCCAGCCAGGTGCCTGGCGGGCCGAGGCAGGTCCTGCCTATAGAGAAGCGGTTGAAGTCTCTTGGAGGGGCTGCATGGGCCTGGTGGGTGTGATACCCACTTTATCTTGTCCCAGAGTCATCCTGAACTAAACCCCTTTCTGGTGAAGGACGTCAGTGGGCAGCGGTGGCCGCAGCTCCCATTTCCTGGAACCTGACCCCATTGCTTTTGTCCCCATGCTCACTGGGACAGGCCCATAGGCCCCCATCACGGCCTTGGGTCTACCCCTAGAGCGCCCCAAGTAGCTGGAGTCTGATGGGGTGCTGGACACACAGGCACCTTCCCTCCTGGAGCAGGCGGTGCCTGCCAGACAGTGGCTTAGCTCTGTCCGGCCTTCCGCTGAGAGCTGGATGGGCTGGGTGTCTTCTGGCAGCCCTGTCTTTATGCGAGAGGGCTGGGCTCAGGCCCTGGCTCGCCACAGTGGGGGCTGGGGCCGTGTGGCCCCTGGGACGCCACATCAGCCTCATGGCTATGTTGTGAGCTGGCTCGCTGCCAGCAGAGCTCTTCCCATAATGGAGGTCGAGGTCCCTAGGGTTGGGGGAGTTGGCCTCGCCTGGCTCCTCCAGCCCTGGTCCCCACCCCCACCCCCACCCCCGAGCTGCCACAGGGTGAAGACATCGCCATGGTCCCACCGTGGCCATCTGCTGGCCTGGGCCTTAGGTGTACAGCACAGCTGCCCAGAATTGGCCATGGCTGCTGCTCACAGGGGGTCCAGGCCTGGTGGGGGCAGCCTTGCCTGCCAGCCACCTTCTACTGCCTGGACACCAAGGGTCATCGGAAGCCCTTCCAGCCCTGAGGCTTCAGTTTCTCCACCTGCATGCATGGAGTAAACGAACAGGTGTGGAGGCCCCTCAGCTCCTGTCCCTTGGCCTGTGCCATCCTTGCTAGGCTCCAGGCCACAGGGCCTGTGTCAGGGCCCGACGTCTGCCCACCCCATGCTGGGAGGAGACAGGCGTCCACACCCCTGCAGGGGTGTCACGGCAGCAGCCTGAGCACTCACTGTCTCCCACAGGAAGGTCCTGCGTCTCAAGCCTCTGTGTAAAGCTGACAGGAGCTGTGCACAGGACTTGTGGCCCTGGCTCTTTCACTTCTGAGGAGAGGAGATGACACCTGAGGGACAGGGCAGAGCCAGACGCATGGGGAGCCCCCTCCTGCTGCTGGTGACAGCCGCTGTGGTGGGGACTGCAGGGCAGGGCCCACTGTGCTGTCTGTGCTGGGCACTCAGTGGACCCTGAGACCGGTGGGAGCGACTGGTACGGTTCAGGAGGCCTCAGGAGGACGCAGACCATTCTGTGTATGAGTGGACAAGTGCCCTCCTCGTGGGTAAGCAGCATCCCAGCCAAGATGACAGAATTCCTGCCCACCTGGCAGAGAGGCTTCTGGACACGGCCTCGGCCCGTGTGGTGCAGCCCTCACCCCACTCCAAAGACATGGCTGGCTGCCAGGCCATCTGCCACCCTGAGCCATAGGGCTGGAGGGGTGGTGGGCACTCAACCTGGTGAGCTGGAGGGGCCACGGGGTCCCCGATACCCAGCCTCAGGCCAACCCAGAAGCATAGAGTGGAGAGGCAGAGGCTTGGGCACCCATCTCATGACAGGGCTGGGCCAGTGCTGGGGTGCCCCCGCTGAGCCTTCCAGGGCTGTCACAAGCCTCACTATCCTCAGCAAGGGCCAGGGCACTGTGCAAGTCTGGAGTGGGCAGATGGCAGCTGGGCTGTACCGAGGCCGGGTGTGCTGGGCAGACTGGGACGTAGTTGGGAGGCCAGGGCCCTGGGTACAGCACAGGGCAAGTGCGAAGGGGCTGCCCTGGGCCTGGGCTAGGGGGACCCTGCTAGGTGGGGTGGGGAGGTGAAGTCAGGCTCCCACTTGCCCTGGTACAGACTCAGCTCTCCAGCCTCAGGAGTGGGCCCGCGGGTCTGAGTCTAGTGAGTCCATTTTCTGTTGCACTCTAAGGCTATAATTTTTCTGCCAAAATGTTTTAAAAGCTGCTCGCAGACACATTTTCAGAATTACAGGTACAGCAGTTTTCCTCCCTGTGATCATGCATTTCATTACGTGCCCTCGTGTGTGGCGTGGGAAGGGGCACTGGGGGGGGCAGGGATGGTGGACTTTGGGAAAGGTATACCATGTGACACTGCCAGTGTGGTGAGGTGCCCCGAGGGCATGGGCTGTTGTTGTCTGTCACAGGGCAATGACAGTGGTGGCCGTCTTCCTGCCACCTGGAGCCTTCATGGAGGGTAGAGGTGAGGGTCCCTTCTTGTCCACCCCAGAACAGCGTCCCCCATGGGTGCCAGCTGCCAAGCACAGCAGTGTCCTCCCTGTGTCCTCTGAGTCCCTGGAGGCCAGGGGCGCAACAGCGGCTCGCTTTCCTGCTGACAGAGCTGCCAGCCGTCCTTGGAAGGCAGAGGTGGACGGCACAGGCATTCTGGGTTTCAATAGTGATTTTCGTGTTGTGCCAGCCCCTTCCCTCTGCTCAGACATTGCCACTGTAGCCCTGGGGTTCTACCCTGGGTATGATGCCCCCAGGTATGATGAGCTGGGGTCAGCATCTTTCAGGGCCACCTGAGTCCTTGGGATGTGCAGCCTTCCCATGCGCAGGTGGGGGCGACGGGGACCCCTGCTGCCCTTCTTCCTGACCCAGTACTCGGGTGGCAGTGGGGCAAGTTGAGTATGGTTCCACCTGGTGCCACTTATACACAGTAGCTGGTGACCTGTGGGTCCCCCTGCCCCCTTCATCCCACTGGGTCCTGGCAGACCCCAGAGGCTGTGAGCTGGCCCAGGGGTGGGTGGCACTCTGTCTGAGGGCTCTGAGGGCCTGGATGGTGTTCAGGGTGGCTGTGTGGACTGAGCTGGCAGCTGGCCAGGCTGCTCTGTGCTCCGTGATAATAGAGTGACAGTGCCCTGAACACTAGGGGGGCTCCTGCCCCCAGCCACCCCACCTGCTTAGCACCATGTCCCTGTGGGTCCTGCTAAGGGGGTCTCTGTAGAGCCAGCAGGCCCCTGCTAGCCCCGGGGCCATGAGAACAAACCATCCAGTGAGGATGTCACCTGGCACTGTGCACCCTGGGCACATGTGCCTCTCTCCTGGGGAGGATGCCCAGGTTTCCTGTCTGAATGGGTGCACCAAGGTATCCTGCCAGCTCTATGAAGCCCCTCCGAGGGGGAGTCTGAGGACCAGGGATGTAGTCAGGGCACACCAGCCAGCCTGGTGGCCAGACTGCGAGTGGGAAGGCCCTGGCATGCCCCAAGACCAGCCTCAGGCAGGACTCAGCAGCTCCTGGGGGCCCCAAGCTTGCAGCATCCAGGAAGCACTATATGTCTAAACCTCAGGCACAGGTGCTGGCTGGCAGCAGAAGCATGGAGCAGGGAAGCCCTGCACCTCCTGGAGCTGGCACGCAGGGGCGGGGTGCTGGCTGCTCAAAGAGGCTGAGATAATAGGGAGGCACCCCACAGCCAGCTGCCTTGGGCAGCACTTGGTCCACTCCCCAGCCCTCCGTGGGTGCCTACCAACCTGGCTCGTGCCCAGAGCCTGGTGTGGGCTCCCAGCCAGCCAGCCTGGGGCAGCCGCCATCTCCTGCCCTGGCTAGGGCTGTGCTGGGCCAGGAAGATCCCTCCTCACGGCAGGCCTGCAGGGCTTCTCACCCTGTCCTGTCCCTGTCCCCCACTGGTGCTGCTATCCTAGCTGGGAGGCTGTGGCGTCCTGGGCGTCGGCATCTGGCTAGCTGCCACGCAGGGGAACTTTGCCACCCTGTCGTCCTCCTTTCCGTCCCTGTCGGCTGCCAACCTGCTCATCGTCACAGGCACGTTCGTCATGGCCATCGGCTTCGTGGGCTGCATCGGGGCCCTCAAGGAGAACAAGTGCCTGCTGCTCACTGTGAGTGCAGCTGTGTGGGGGTGAGGCCCTGGGGCCAGGACTTGTGTGCACTGGGGGTGCCTGACCCATCGACTGCCAAGGGGTCCGGGGAGTCGGGGGCACTGGCAGGACCTTCACTCAGGCAGGGCACTGGGCCCAGCGGTCCCTGAGGCTGGTCCCCATCTCCCCACAGTTCTTTGTGCTGCTACTGCTGGTGCTCCTGCTGGAGGCCACCATCGCCGTACTCTTCTTCGCCTATACTGACAAGGTACGGGCCAAGCGTGTGGCCTTGGTGGGGACAGGGTGGATGGACAGCAGCCCTTGGGGCCTGGCTTGGAGGCGGGGGATGATGGCTGAGTGCAGTGTGGCTGTCCTCTGATAGGAGTTGTGTCAGAGAGCAGAATGTGCAGTGCAGTCCCTGCCACACTGTTGCTTGCCTCTTTATTTGACCACCTCTTTCTACGGGACAGATTTGCTGACACAGGCCTGTGCCCGGGCCTGACATACTGCCCACAGCAGCTTCTGCAGACCCTCTGCTGCTGGGGTGTGGCAGGCTGCTCCAGCTTCTGCGCCCTTGCCTGGCTCTGGAGCCAGCCACTTCCCTCGCTCCTTCCTGGGGGGTCGCAGGCCCTGATCTCCCTGCAGAGCAGGGACAGGCCTGTCTGTACCCCTAGATGTATGCAGGTGAATCTGCTTGACCCGTGGCCTGCAGCCCAGGGGCCCGAGCCCCAGCGTGAGAGGCTGCCTGGGTCCTGTGTCTCTGGAGTTGTCACACAGTGATGAGTGGCTGGCCAGGACTGACTGGGGAGATAGAGGGGTGTGGGGTTTGAGGGAGGGAGGCACCCACCTACTCTGACCCCACCATACCCCCAGATTGACAGGTATGCCCAGGAAGACCTGAAGAAGGGCCTGCACCTGTATGGCACGCCAGGCAACGTGGGGCTCACCAATGCCTGGAGCATCATCCAGACCGACGTGAGGCGGGGGCACTTCAGGGTGGGGTCGTAGCTGTTCCCCACTCGCTCCCGCCTCAGCCAACCTTCCTCTCTCCAGTTCCGTTGCTGTGGCGTGTCCAACTACACCGATTGGTTCGAGGTGTACAACGCCACGCGTGTGCCTGACTCCTGCTGTCTGGAGTTCAGTGACAGCTGTGGGCTGCATGCGCCTGGTACCTGGTGGAAGGCGGTGAGTGCAACCCAGGGAGGGGGTTCTGTGGGGTCCGGGCGGCCACTGACCCTGCTTTCCTGCAGCCCTGTTACGAGACAGTGAAGGCCTGGCTGCAGGAGAACCTGCTGGCTGTGGGCGTCTTCGGGCTGTGTACAGCACTGGTGCAGGTGTGTGGGGGCCGGGCACATGCACACCCTTGAGACAGGCTGGGGTGAGTGCAGGTTGGGAGGAGTGAGAGTCCAGGACAGAGGTGGAGGCCTCCAGCATCTCCCGCTGCAGAGCTCTGTGCCCTTAGGGAGGCCGAGGCTGGTTGCCTGCGGTCTCGGCTGAGTGGAGGTGGGGGAGGGTGGCCTTAGTGCACACACCCATTTTCCCCAGCAAGGGCAAGTAGGTCAGTCCTGACACTCAGGTGGCCACAGCTAGGAAGGGTGGGTGTGGCAAGGGCAGAGAACGCAGGCCGTGGCAATGGTGGAGAGCCTTGAGGCCCAGGCCTGTGGTGGTTGGGGACAGCCATGGGTGCCCTGAGGCACTCTGCCCAGCCCTTCCTGTCCCCACAGATTCTGGGCCTGACCTTTGCCATGACCATGTACTGCCAGGTGGTGAAGGCAGACACCTACTGCGCCTAGGCCACGAGACGCCCTGCTTCTCTGCCAAAGGACACCACCCAGCGGGGAGATAGCCCAGCCACGCCGCCACTCCCAGCTGGGACTTGTGCTCTGCTGGGCGGGGCAGGTGCTGGTGCCTCAGTGCAGGCAGCTGTGGAGTCTCAGGACGAGATGGAGCGGTTGGGAGGATGGAAGAGCTCTGATGTGTTTTGTACCCACGGATCCTCCAGTGTGGGGACGCAGGGCCAGTCTTGCCTGAGCCCCACTGCTCCTGGTGCTCCGGGGCCGGGCCCCGTCATCACATTCCACGCGGAGCTGCAGCTCCAGGTGCATTGAATAAAGTGCGTGAGCAGCACTGACTGGCTGCTGTGCGCCAGGCGCCTCTTAACCTCACTCGTGTGGGGGCGGGGCACCTGCCCTGTCCCTTCGCTCTCAGTCCCCTCCTCAGTCTCTGGAAGGAGGGCCCTTGTCACAGGCAAGAATTAAAGAAAAGGCCACATGCCTGGGACCTTCTCAGGCCAGTCACCTCGTGACCAGGGGCCGAGTGGTGACCATCTGGGGCTCGGGTGGGGTACATTGGCCTCCAAACTGCACCACTCTCTCCCATTGCCTCTGGACCCAGCTGCGCAGGACTGGGGAGCAGAGCAGACCCAGACCCTGGCTCTGGGCTTGAGTCTTGTGTTCCACATTCTCAAAAACCTACGAGAACACGGAGTCTGACTGTGTCATGTGGGTGGGAGACCCTGGGGAACAAAGCCAGGGCAGCCTTCTGAGGACAGCTCAAGACAGGACACTCCCTGACTGCTCAGCCTCTTCTGAGGTCCCCTATGTGACATCTACTCTGCAGGTGGCCACTCCCTGCCTGAGCTCAGTACCCCCCACAGGCACTGGTCAGCTTGACTCTGGAGCCGCTGGCCCCTTGGACTGGCCATGCTGTCCTCCATCAGCTCTCAGCACCTCTATCCCCGACTTTGCTGGCTCGGAACCAGAACTTGGCAGCAGCCTCACTTCCCACCCCAGAACTCTGCCTGGGACCGTCTCTATCCTGTAACACTGGCCATCCTGTCTGCTCACAGCGTTGGGAGCTACTTCCAGCACCTGCCACGTGTATAGGGATGTAGGTGCCAGTGGGTGCTGAGCCTGTGTCTAGCTGCCACCACACACCATTTGTAACTGACCAGGTGAGGTAGGGCCATGGTGCTGCCCCCATGTGGCTCCTCCTGTCTTGCCCAGCCCAGGCCTTTATGGACACAGCTTGTCCACCATCCTGTCCTGGCTTGTCTACAGCTGGATACAGTGGTGCCTACAGGGTCTCCTTCCAGTCAGGGCAGGAGACAGCCAATGGTAACCTGACTAGTGGCAGAGACCAGTTGCTACCCCAGGCTTAGTGTGTCCAGCCCCCTAATCCTGGCCCTTAGGGCGCCAGTTGCGCAGCTTAGTGCAGAGGACAGTTCAAAGGCAGGATCCTGTTTGGCTTGGGGACAGATACAGACCCATCCACTTGGGCCAGCAGGACCAGGGACTGAGTACTAGAAGAGGGTGAGGACTCCACATGGCCAGCAGAGGGGCTGGGGCCCAGGGACAGTGGTGGGGGACGGATAGCCCCTGGCTCAGCCCTATGCCAAGGTGGGGTGGGCACAGTGCCTGGGGCTAACCAGATCCTGCTTAGGACGCCCATCCCAGTTGCGGCCCGTGGGTCTTCCACGGCCCTCCCCACATCTACACTGGCCACTGAGCAGAGCTGGGTGGGGTCCAAGCCCTGGGGGGTGTCAGCATGAGGTGGCTCCTGCAGCCAAGGGGTGGACAAGCCCAAGCACTAAACCATGTGAGGGGTCTGAGCCAGGCTGTCCCCCTGGCCAGTGGCAGGGACAGCACCCCTGCATGAGCATGGCTCCCCAGGACCACAGAAGACATCACAGCACACACAAGGCCTGTATTTCACACAGTCGGCTGTTCCATAGCTGCCAACAGTCCACATCCACTTGGGGGCCCAGCCTAGAGGAGGTCGTAGAAGTAATCCAGACCTTGGCCCAGCTCCCAGATAGAGACCCCGACGCCCAGCTCCTTAGCCAGCTCCAGCCGCACCTGTAGGGACTGTGGGCACCAACAGACACATGGGTGCCTGCCCGGCTGCTCCTCGCCCCACCACGTCCCAGGAACTGCCCCTTCTGCCCTGGGCACTGACTGAAGTCCATGGGCAGCTGTAGACTCCCACACATGGGCCAGGATCACTAGGGGGCAGGGCTGGTGCTTCCGACCCAAACCCTCCCCACCACCGCGCAGGGTACTACCTTGAGAGTCGGGTAGAAGACCAGGTGCCTCCCGCCGCGGCTCCTGCGGTACAAGAGGGACTGTCCACCTTCTGATTTTGGTGCTTCCCGCCCACCAGCTAGGGCCTGGGTATGGGCCCAACCCAAACCCCAGGGCCCCCTCCACATCCTGGTGGTGCATACTCCACTCACTTCTTGTACTCGAAGAAGTGCTCCGCAGCTTGGCCATCCCACGCCATGCGGGGCCTGTGGTCCTTCAGCATCTGGATGTACCTGGGGAGGCCAAGGTGTGGGTGGGGAGCCAGCTGCACCCCACAGCCACCCTTACCTGGCCCATGTGGCAGTCTCACAAGTGGGGAGGCCATAGGGGCCGCAGGTTGAGGAGCTACTGCCCTGTGGTAAAAGACAGGCAGTGGGGGACGACACCCAGGCCCTGGGGCACCAGGCTCCCCAAGGGCTCCTCAGTCATCAAAGTACCTGCCACCTGCTCTGCAGAACTGATGGGTGTCCTAAGCTGCCTAGAGCCCAGTTGCAGGACAGGGTAAGGAGACAGCAGGCAGGGGCAGCAGTCTCCAGGCCCCTGGATTTGGGGTCGGCACCATACCCAGAGCCCAGCAGTTCCTTGCTGGGTACCAGGAGCCCAGAGTTCAGGGACCACACCCTCCACCTGACCAGAGGGTGAGGTTAGGCCTGGGGTGTGAGAAGCGTGGGAGACCCAGGCATGATACACTGGAGACCAGGGCAGATGGCCCACGAGGGGCCATGGCACCATAGGCACATGGTTCCAGCAGCTCCTTACTTCTCTACAGCTGCTGCTGAGTCCCAAGGACAGGACCAGAGGCCATCCTGAAGGCCAGCACTTGGGTGGCATGGCACAGGTATCTAGGGATGGGTGGCACATGTGCACCTCCTGACCTGAGCTGCCCAGCCACCTGAGGCTGCATCCTGAGCTGGGTGAAGGCCACTGTCCTGGGGCAGGGGCAGCTGTTACTGTGCCCAGTCCCTTGAGGCAACCTGGCTCAGAGGTGGGCGTGAGCTGGAGCAACTCGGCAGGCTTCAGCCCTCCACAGTGGAGATGGCAGGAATAGAGCCCGCAGGACTTCTACCAGGTGCCTGTGGCCCTGGGGCCTGCTGCCTGCATAGAGGGTGGCACCAGAAGGAGCAGTGTGAGACCTGTCCCCCAAAGGGCACCTCCTCCAAGCCCCTGGGAGCATCCTGAGGGCCAATGCACTCAAGCCAGCTGGCGCTGCCTTGCACCATGCCTCTGGGCACTTCTGCTCTGAGGACCAGGCCTTTCCAGTTCTCACTGGTCCCTTTGGGAAGCCCCTCCAGGCCTGGCCCTGTGAAACATCAGGGATTTGCAATCTTCTCTCCAAGGAAGCACAAGCCCAGCCCTGACTGTCCACCTGCTTGGATGCCCTCAAATCATCAGGTCACACTCCGTTAGAAGTCTACTAAGTGGCTGTTGAGGGAGCTAGGAGGCAGGAGGTGGCAGAGGGGACTTTGGTGCTCCCCAAGTAGGCCCTGGAACCAGGGTTAGAAAAGTGAGGGCCAGAGAGAGGCCAGGCACAGCCTGAGGATGCAGCTGCATGACAGATGCCCCTAAGGCCTGGGCACTTGGGAGGGTATCGGGGCAGCCACCCAGATCTCTGTCATCTGCCCTGGAATACCGAGCCCCAAGTGTCAGAAGCCAAGCCCTGTAAGACCCAAGGAGCTCAGTTGCCACCAAGGGCCAGGCTCCTAGAGGGACAATACAGGCCACATAGGCCAGGCCAAACTCAGCTCTTCCTACTGCCTCTGCCTCTCACCTGTGCCTGGCTGAGGCCAGGTAGTGCCAGTGGGCATTGTGGGGCAGCTTGTTCTACCAGGGGAACAGGAACGCCCTTCAGCGTGGGGAGCCTGATTAGCACCTGGGCCTACTTGCTGGCAGTAACTTGGCTACTGTTGAGCTGGACTAGTCCTTTTCTGGGTGTCTACTGTCCAGGCTGCTCTCCAAAGACAGGGCATGATGAGGCCACCAGGGCTCCCCCAGGAGTCCCCTAGCCATCCTGAGCAGGTACCACTCTGCAGACCATCTTCACCCCAGGCAGACGGCCAGCTGGGCTGGCAGAGGCCCACAGAGCAGTTGGCCCAAGAGAGCCTGGTGGTGTGGATGGCCGTGCACATGGTGGTGCAGCTGTCCCCCACTGCCTCAGAGGGCCCACGGCCCAGAGCTGGGGGCTGATGGGATGGTGAGCCATTCTGGTGACAATTTTGCTCCAAAAGGGCCAAAAGGAGCCCTGAGTGCATGAGGCTCCTGTGCCCACATCTGGGCCTCACTTGCCTGGGAGCGGCCATCAGCCAACACGTCATCAGCCATCAGCCATGATGCCTAGGTGCGCGCACAAGGGCCACATTCTGCTGAGTCACGTCTCCTCCACCCCTTCTGATGGCACAGAATGTGTCTCTTACAAAGGGATTTGGTCCCACGGTGAGAGGCCATGACCCATGACTCCAGGTGCCCTGAGCCCCTGGGCCTGGAGAGATCAGATTTTGGGTAAAGCAGGTTGACAGAAACCCACAGGGGCTAGCAGAGGCCCTGCCTGAGCGGGCTCCCTGTCCTGCAGTCACCTAGCCTGGAAGGAAGGCCGAGTGCCCGGCAGGCGCAGGTCTGGTGGTGCTAAGGCCAGGCCGAGGACAGTGTGGGCTCAGTGCCCACCCACAACACCAAGCAAGGCCTCCAGGCAACAGCACCCAGCAGCCTGCTGCGTCACAGGCTCCAGCCAGCCAGCCCCCACCTCGGGCTGGTGGGCAGCTGTGCAAGGAGGCACTGCAGCTCCAATAGGCTGGTTACTGAGGCCTGGGCTGCCAGTAAGCATGGGGCCCAGGGACAAGGAGGGTGGTGACTGTGCAGAGCTCACTGGGGCCTAGTAATGGCGAGCCTTTTGGAGCTTTCAACAGTGCCAACAGCCCACTGTGGCATGTGTGCCATAGGTTCGTTACCACTGCTACAGCCCCACTTGGGTTGTCTGAGGCATGGGATCCAGCAGCAGTGTGCCAACTGAACCCAACACACCCTCTCCTACTCCTTGGGACAGAGGGCTAGGAGCCTGCAGGTGCACGACGGTGGGACTGGGGTTGCAAGGTGGGTGGGAGTGGCTCCCTGTTCTATTTGGGGCACAGGGACTAAAGTGACAGGAACCTGGGGCCCACAGCAGAAGGCGAAGTTAAGAACTTAGGAAAGAGCTGACATAGGCCATTTTGAGTTTTTTGTTTGAGACACGGTCTCACTGTGTAGCTCAGGTTGGCTTTGAACTCGCCTTGTAGCTCGGACTGGCCTTAAACTCCTGGCAATTTCCCTGCCTCAACCATCAGAGTGCTGGGATTATAGGCGTGCACCACCACACCTGGCTAGGCCACTTGGTTACCTGGGCTGAAAGAAGCAGGCTCTGGTATGAGAAAAGAGGAGCCTCCAGAACAAGCAGGGGACAACAGGCTCCAGCTTCAGGAGGTCCACAGGGAACCTCAGACAGGAGGCCCATCCAGCCTTGTGCCTCTGAAGGGGCACGACCAGCTGGGGCAAGACCACAGGGGCCAGAGGGGAGGGCATGGGTGGCTGCTCCACGGGATGGGGCTGGATGTCACCAGGACAGGGGAGGGCCACTGGGGCCTGAGGATGGACATGCGGTCTCAGTTCTCACAGGAGGAGCCCCGCAGAGTGGGCGTCCACGATGCTGCCCCGACCCAGGAAGGCTAAGCCGAGCAGGCTTGTCCAGTGCCCACATCACTCCCCTGTGCCCAGGAGCCTGGGCAAAGGGTGTCTCAGGCAGGGAAGAAGCTGGCCAGGAGGAGTAGCACTTCCTGTCCCCGCTGGGCGAACTCAGAATTCCAACTCCAGCAAGGCCAGGAGGCCCGAGGGCAGTGTCTGCATGGCTGTGTGCACAGGGACACACATGTGAGCACAGGCTTGTGCTGGCTCCCTATGCCTAGGCCCTCAGGCCCTTGCAGAACAACTGAGGGTGGGGCTCTGCCATCTGCAGGCCACTGATGTTTTTGGGATCTGACGGGCTGGGTGCTTGTGTTTGCAGCTTAGGTAGCAGTGATGCAGGCAACCATCCTCCACTCCTGCTGCCATCCCTCTGCACCATCCTGTCCACCTCCAGGGTGTCCCCAAACTTGTATGTGAGAGGCCTAATCCCTAGTACTCTGGGATGCAGCCATACTTGGCAAAGCAATCTCTAGAAAGGTGACCAAGTTGGGGCTGGGGATTTAGTTCAGCAGCACAGCACTTGCCTGGCAAGCGCAAGGTCGAGTTCGATTCCTTGTACTGGAAAAAAAAAACAAAAAGAAAAAAAAACCAAAGGTGACCAAGTTGGAATGAGGCCAGGGACTGTCCTCCTAAGAAGTCAGGGAGCAGCACGGCCTCAGCACACCAAGGCCCTAGGTTCAATCTCTAGCACCAAAACATAAAGAGCTGAAGGAGACTGAGACACAGGAAGACCCACAAAGACACAGGAGAAGACACATCTGCAAGGCAAGGGGAGGGCTCCAGAGGAACTGGCCGTGCGACAGCTCCGCCTCTGACTCCAGGATGCCAAAGCAAGAATTCCAGCTGGTGGAGAGGTAGAGACGCACAGCAGCCCCAGGCCAGCACCTCAGCTCCCTCATGGAGCCCAGCCTGGGACTGGCAGACCTCCCTCTGCAGCCAGGGAAGTAGCTTCCTGTTCCTCCTGGCCAGGCTTCTTGGGATGCCAGGGCCTGTGTGGGGAGCCCCAGTGCTATAGGCTACCCCAGCCAGTGCTCCCGAGCCAGGGGTCACAAAGAATGCCAGAAAGCTTTCAGAGCCTTCCCAGGAGTCCGAGTATGAGGATGGCTGCAGAAGGGGCACTGTACCCACCGCACTGGGCAGTGGTGGGTAGGGTGGACCGATGGGGGCTGGGAGGCCAGGTACTGAGGATCTCAATCCTGCAGCAGGGATGGGGCAGCTAATACCCAGGGAGGACCCATGTCCCACCGCAGCACCAGCTTCCCAAGGGGCCCTCCTGGTGCCCCACATCTCCAAGCTCACCATGCAGCCCCAGGATGGCCTCCTACCCACCAAGGGCTCAGGTTCCCATGTTACACCCTTCTCAGCCAGGCCTGGCCTGCCTTGTCTGCACAGCTGAGCCCCAAGCCAGCGTCCAGGAGAGGATGGTCAGCCCAGACTCCAGGACCAGCCACGGGGACATGGAGAGGAGTGGGACCACCACTCCCCACCATGGCTGGGAGCACAGACATCCCTCGTGGAGGGGCGCCTTAGTGAGGGGCAGCCCTGGTTAGTACCCTTAGAGCTGGAGAATCACAATCAGGGGAGAGGTGTACCCCAACTCCCCTTTCGACCACCAACTGCTCTCCTCCAGAACCACAGGTCCGGCCAAGTGCCAGGTTGGCTCTGCCCCTATCCAGAGCACTGGCCTTCAGCACAAGGCAGACAGTGCAGCCTCTGCTCCCCTGCCCAGGCAACCCACAGGGACTCCCAAGGCAGCGGCAGCCCATCTCAGTCTCTGCACCCCACTCTCCAGGAGGAGACCACCAGGAAAGTGGTCGCTCGTGCACTTCCAGGGGACTTCACTGCACCCAGAACATGGATGAAGGGTTTGCTGGAATGTAACCAGCAAACCTGGTTTTACCCAGTGCCCCTGGTAAAACCCATGCAATATGGCCTGGGGTCCTATAGCACCGGCCCACAGCCCAGGAGAATAGCCAACCACAGGGCTGACCAGAGTGGATCCAGGCTCAGGATTGGCAGATATGGACAGGAAGTAATGGAGTCCTACGAGTGCAAGGGTTCAGTAGAGACGTGGAAGATGTAAAACAAAACCCACAACAGAACTCGAGCCATGAGATGTGCAGCCTGTGTGATGGAAGAGCACTGGGCAGACTGTGGCAAAACGGACCGGGCAGGAGAAAGCGAGCTGCCAAAAGGACAGCCACGGCGAGACCGAAAACCTGAGAGCGCACAGAGTTCCGGGAGCTGAGGCACTGGGAGCGTGGGGCGGAGAGGGCTACAGAATCTCCCACAGCCCTCTGCTCCAGTAAAAAGCATGAGCATGCAGATTAGGCTCAGGGTATCCTGATCATATCCTCATGGAACTACGCTCCAGTGACCAGTCCTGAGCCCGGCAGAGGCGGGGTGACAGGCAGGCAGTGGGTGCACGAAGAGAACAGGGAAAACCATGGTCTCTGGCACAGGAGAACACAGCCAGGCATAGTCACAGGAGAAGAACCGCACAGTGAAGGATGGTGCAGGAGTCCCTCAAGAGGACATGACCTGCAGGAGGAACAGGTCCTAGCCAGGTATAGCCACAGGTGGCCAGTGCTTGATGCCAGCTGGCCACACATGAGCCCAGCAACTGCACGTGTCCAGCTTTCAGCACACTTCTAGACCTACTCAGCATCCCTGCTTGGGGATGCCACACTGTGGGGAGTGTGGTGCCTTGCGCTGGGGCTGAGGTAGGGTGGCACTGACACAGGACCGAGGCTGCCTCCCCAGGCCACGCACCTCCACCGAGCCCATGACCCCAGGAACCCAGGACCTCTGCCCTCACCAGCCCAGCAGCAAGGATGCTGACACTGAAGCATGACAAGAGGGTCCTCGGCTCACCTGGCCCCAATGACGGGCTCACGGGCATCCTTGGAGGCCGCATAGTCCATGCCATAGAAGTTCAGCCCCAGAAGAATCTTGCTCCGCCACCTGGACTTGGGGTCCAGCACCTGGACACAAGCTCGAACCCACGAGAGTGGTGCGTTGGGGCCAGGCCTGCAGGGATGACAGGACAATGGGTTTCAGCAACAGGCAGGTCAGTTCCATGGGCCCGCCACCTGGGGCATGTTCCTTCTGTGCTATGGCTGGCACTTCTCATGGCCTGGGAAGAACTGGGAGTTGATCGCTCGGAATGTCTTCTACTGGGCACTTGTGTGCAGCCTCCCCACTGCACACTGGCAGGCAGATGTCTGAGACATGGGTACGAAAGGCTCGGTAGACACATGGCCTTCTGCCCTTCCTGTCAGATGCCTGCTGCATCTGCTTCCCATGCTCCTTGGCAGCAAGGTGGCCCCGGCCTGATGGGGTGACAATGAGGTGAGTGTGTGGCCCCTAGCAGTGCAGGGCCCCCACCAGAAGGGCTCCTACATGACCCCCACTCTTAGGCACAGGCCAGGCAGGGGGCCACCAGCAGCTCCCTGTGCAGGCAGCCACAGAGCCCTGGGCAGGGCTATCTGGCCAGAGGCCACAGTGCAGGCTGCAGCTTGCGGAGAGCCCTTTCCCTGAGGCACCCACGTACTCACTGCTGCGATGTGGAGTAGTCATAGGTCATGAGGCTGAAGCCATCCAGCACCGGGGCCAGCTGCTCAAACTCCTTGTGTGTGAACATTCCCAGCTGGTCGGTCCTGTGATGAGATGTGCGGCTGGGGTCAGGACACACTGGCCTACTGCCTCCAGGGGTCCCGCGTCACTGTGACTGGAGATGGCACCTTCTGTTTGTCTGGGGCCACGCTCAGAACCCAGGGTGGGGCTGAGGCCAAGCAGAGCAACCTGTTTTCCCTGCCTTGGGAAGGCTCTGTGGGCAGGGGTGGGTCTAACAGTGACCCCTAAGACTCAGCTCTGCTCCCCTGAGGCTCTGCAGGGCAGAGGTGGGTCTCACAGTGAACCCTATGACTCAGCCAAGTTCCAGGACGGTGGGCTCTCAAGGAGGCACCTCCTGCCCACAGATACCAAGAAGCACAGCACCTTGCCCAGGCCTGTGTCACCAGTACCTATCTGCCCCATCTTCGCAGATGCCCCACCCACAGCGCCCCTGCCAGACTCTCTACCTCCCCTGTGGCGCTGTGGGAGGGGACAGAAACCCCCTTCCCTGGGTGGGGAGCGTCAGGCTGCTCAGTGTGCCCATGCAGACCAAGACTCAGCTGCCAGCACCCTAGGGACCCAAAGCTGACCTCAGACAGAATTCTCTGTGCGCCAGAATGGGCATCAGTGGCTGGCTCGACGAGGCCCCTGGCAGCCGCACAGAAGGGAGATCAGAGACTGGAACGGGGACCCTGGGGAAAACCTGCCCCTGTGGGATGCTCTCTTGGGTTGGCTGGCTCCTCCAGTCCTATCTCATGTCTCTTGCACATGGAGCTCCCAGGGGCATGTGGTCCCCAACACCTTGCCTGCCCACGCAGCGAGGGAGACAGCTCCAGGGGACCAGTGTGACAGAGAGGCTGAGGACAGCCAAGGCCACACCAGCTGCACACTGGAAGGGCAGGAACGCGGCCCACCTGGCCCAGGGGCCTAGCGTGCCTCTCACTGGCACTGCCCCTCGCGTGCGTACCCTTGAAGGTTTACAGGCCTCACTGCTGCGGACTGGTTACCCCTTGAACACACCCAGTGATGGCCAACGGGGGCACCACATCCAGAGGGGCTCCTGTCCCTTTCACTGTCCCCTAAAGGCCATGGTTCAGGGCGGTGAGCACAGGGAGGGAAGCAGTGGCCTCGATCCTCCTCAGGACACCTCCTGTCAACTGGGCACCATGGCTTGGATACAAAGCAGACCACAGTGAGGACAGGGCAAGGCCCCCAAATCCCAGACAGCCATCTCCCCTGCATCTGCCCCTCTCAACTCGAAGCAGCCAGATATGGCCTTCTCCTGGCTCCCCTAACAGCAGTGAGGGTACTTCTTCAAGGCGGAGAATGTAGAAATGGTTTGCTTAGTCAGACTACAAGTGAGGGAGCTATGGGAAGGGCCTGAGAATTGGGTGACCAGCTACAATGACAGGAGCTGAGACAAGAACGGAGTGAGTGTGGACTGGGGACCCACGACGAACTTTCACAGGTCACTGGGGATGCAGCCATTCTCCACTAAGCTCCTGAGTTCTGAGGAACTTAAAATGCAAAATAACCAGGTTTTCTAAAACCCATTTCCTTTAAACCCCACATGTTGAAGAACTGTGTTTGGGAGCCAGAGTTCCAACTGGTCGTTTTGAATCCACAGAGCCACTCTGACAGGTGGCTACTAAACAACTGAGCAATTCCTGTGCTCTGCTTGTCTATAATTACAGTAGCTCTGGATGGAGGGGCCATGTGGCCACTCCCTTGGGAGCCCTCCTGAAATTCATGAGCTATTCTTTTTTTTTTGTCTTTTTGAGATAGGGTCTCGCTATGTAGTTCAGGCTGGCCTTGAGCTGACTTTGTAGACCAGGCTAGTCTCAAACTCAAAAGGATCCTCCTGCCTCGGCCTCCCAAGTGCTGAGATTACAGGCGTGAGCCTGCATGCTCGGCCACGAGCTATTCTTATTTCCAATAAAAACTCCCCTAACTGCCTCCTGTGGTTACAGACTGCATTCCAGGACATTTGCGGAACCAGGAGCTCAGTACCCAGGTTCACACAGTAACACCTGAGCCTCTGAGGCCATACCCCAGCAGAGCACAACAGGTACAAAGGAGGAACAGCCTTGGGGACACATCCACGCTGGGGGCAAGGTCAGTGCCACGCACCAGTGTGCAACCACCAAAGAGACAGACCCTCACTCCAGACGTGTCCCCAGCAAAGCAGAGCCCTGGGCCACCAACACTAAGCCCAGTCTGCCCCGCTGGGCAAGGCACTGAGGCCTTTCTTTGACTTCAGCAAGGGGACGAGAAAGACAAATAGCAGGCCTCCACGAACGGGCTGGACCCTGTAGGAGTCCCAGCCAGCACCTATGAGCAGCCACCAGGGAAGGGGCCTGGCGGGACACAGCTGCAGGAAGGGCCCAGTGCTGATGGATAGCCAGACTCTCCTGTCCATCCGGAGCCCCTCCATCCACCCAGACCTGCCCTCCACCAGGCCCAGGGACAGCCACACTGTGGGTGCCAAGGGGTAAACTACTCCCTGCCAGCGACAAATCGGGCACAGGTCTCAGTGACATTTATCCTAGCCAGGTCCCACTGGTGTGGCCCTCCTCTGGTACACCATGTGGTCAGGCTGTGCACAACTGGCCAGGAGCTGTGCAGGTGCTGACAGGAATGATGGGTCTGCACCGCTGTCCTCGGGGCAGACTTGGATGCTGCTCACGGTGCAGCCTCTCGAATGCCGGCAGGCTCCACCACTGGCCGTGCTCTCCAGGCCCAGGGCTCACAGGTGCAGGCCAGGCTGGTCATGTCAGTGCTCTGTTCCCAGCAGGAGCTGACTCTCATTGGCAGTGTGGCTGAGGGTCCCTGGCAGCCACTGGCACTCTGGCTGGAGCTCCTGAGTGGCACTTCTCCCAGTCTGACCTTGTCTGTGCCCACCCAGCCTTCCTGGGCATCCAGGTCTGGGTCCCCCATGTCCTGTCACACACAGTCCCCTGCCTCATCCACAGCACCATTACGCCCGTCCTTCATGGCCACATGGCTTTACCACATTGCCCACGCCTCATGGCCTCTAGTAGGCTGGCCCCACACTTTGTGGCTCCCAATGGCCACCACACAGTGCCCCCTACACCTCCACAACGTCTCCCCAAGCAGGAAGGGATGGTGGTGCTTGCAGATTCACCAATGGCACCACCCGGCACAGTGGCTGACACATGACAATTCTCACAGGTCGCTCACAATCACTGCTGACTGCTCCAGAGGCGGGGGCACCAGGGCAGCCTCTGTCCAGAGTCAGGAGCAGCCCTAGTGTGGTAGCCATCCATGGAGGGAGGGCATACCCTCAGCCTGTCCCCGGCCTTCTCCCCAGCCTGGCTGTCCCTGGGGTCCCCTCCACCTGGGCTTCCCTCCTGACATCCCTCTCCATCATTCCTGGCCCGCACAAAACGGACAGCCCGGACACAGAGCCATCTGTCTGTGACCCATGGCATCCGGACAGAAGGCGGGCTCTGCACAGTCCAGAGACGGAAGAATGCTTGACAGCACATTAGACACAGCGTGACTTCCAATACACAAACGTCACCGTTCACGCTGAAAATCTTATGTCCCAAAGTCATTTCCGAGAAAAGGAAAGGGAGCACAGAAGAAAAGAGAAGTCAAGCCCACGTCAGCCAGCACCCGGTCCTGGGTGGGCTCCAGACGGTCACAGCAGTGAATGTGCGTGCTCAGTGGCTCTCAATGCCAAGCGCCCAGCCCACACGGCTGCAAGCTCTCCACATTGGCTGTGCCCACCTATGCCAAGACGGGCTCTGTGCCCTAGCACCTGTATGGACAACCTGGCTGTGGCTGCTGCCTGTGGCTCTGGCCACCTCAGGTCCTCCTCCTTAAGTCGTCCCATCTTGCCAACTGCGGACACCCTTCCTCCAGAGAGCAGGTCTGGCAGGGTATGGTGGTGCACGCCTACAATCCCAGCACTCGGGAAGCTGAGGCAGGAGGATCATTGCGAGTTTGAGACCCGCCTGGTCTACAAAGTGAGCTCAAGGTCAGCCTGAACTGCATAGTGAGACCCTGTCTCAAAAAAAAGTCAAAGAAAAAAAAAAGTAACCCCCGCCCCCCAAAACCCCAGAGCAGGTCTGACCCAGTCTCTGCAGCCACTGGGCCCTTTACCCCAAGGCCCCAGACTCCAGAAACCTAGTAGACCCTGGGAGGGCTCCTTCATGCAGCAGGGGTCCAGCTGCCCCTCTCTTGTGTTCTGCCCTGGGCTCCTCTGGGATCCCAAACCACTAAGCCTCTGGATCTGGGAAGGAAGGTAGCCCTGGGCCTGTGGTCAGCTCCAAGCCTGAGGGGCTGGGGCCTGACATGGCACCCTGGACAGCAGGCCCACTGCCCTCGCAGGCTTCGAGATCTAATTAAACCAGTTCATGGAGGCTGCTGCTCCCCCAGGGTCTCATCCACTGCAGGGGAAATGAGGTGGTGGCCTTGGGAGTGGGGCTCAAGGTCAGCATAGCAAGTGCTGCAGCAGAATAGTGCGGGGCCAAGCCCTCTCCTTGGCGGCTGAGTGCAGCCTGGCTGGTGACAAAGGATAGGCTGTATTTGCATCTGGTGGCTGGAAGCCACCCCTCCATACACGCACACACATGCAGATGTGTGTTCTGCTGGCCCAGCCTCTGCTGTAAATGAGGAGCACAATCTACACCCCACAGGAAGGCACTGGAGGACTCAGGTAGGGGCGGGCTCCTGTGTTGCAAGGGCAGGGATGATAAAAAGACTCCCCTGGGGCGGCACAGCCCACCCTAGAAGGCAAGAGGTCTGGCCCTGCAACAAGAGCGGAGCCCTAGCAGGCACAGTCTCTGTCCCCCCAGGTACCCCACAAAGGCAGCTTTGCACTGTTACTGCAAGTGAAGGTGGAGATAGCCTCAGTTCCCCATGTCCACTTCCTGCCTGGTCTGGGCTGGCTCAGAGGGCACCTCTGAGGTGCCTGCGTTGGACTCTAAGAGTGTCCCTGAGAGCTGCTCCTGCATCTTCCCACAGGTGATCCTTGAACCACCAAGGACAACATGGCCTCCCTGGCTGCGCTACTCTATCCATGCTCTAGACATCAGGACCTGGCACACGAATGCCAGTGGAGGCCATGCAGCTCAGGGTGCTGTGGCCTAGCCTTCCCCTCCATCTGGGCTGCCATCAGCTCAGGAAGTGTCCCCTAGCTGCACCCTCACCACCCCAGCAAGCCCTGGGAGCACAGGCCAGATGTTCTGAGGGTCTCAGGTCAAAAAAGAGAAGGACGAAGCTTCGGGGAAGTCCTGCAGCACCCTAAGCCCTGGATATGGGCCCCATTCCCTGGCAAGGGTGGGATTGCCAGGCTACTGGAGCAGAGCTGGCCACTTCCCACACAGTACTTGGAGGGTCAGCTCAGAGGAGAAGTGGGGACAGAGTCAGGCCTGAGAGGGCTGCTGAGGGTCAGCTGTGATAGTGCCCTCCAGGACTTAGCAAAAGGCATAGGAGTTACAACTCTGCACAATGCTGACCAAAAACCAAGGACATATGGAATACAGAGCCCCACTGCACTATCATGAAGGTGCCACATGCACAAACATATATGGGAACATGTGGCCTCCAGGCTCACCTCTGGAGCGGGGTCAGCAGGAGCCACCAGCTGGACCATGGCCTAACTTGATCTGCAGCTGCCCTCAGCGGCAGTCTACAGGAAGCCAGGGAACCACAGACAGAAAGTCACACAGGGCTCAGAGTACCCTGGAGGCCAAGTTGGGGAACCACCCCAAGGTGGCCTGCCTATGGCCTGTGGTAGATAGCGGTTAGTGGCACTGCTGGCGGGTTGTGGAGTGGGCAGGCAGTCGCCAGCATCTATTTCAGCTGCCTGAGCACAATGCAGGCTCTACCTGAGCAGAGTGCTTTGCTGTGTGACTCAATCGGCCTATGCATCACCTAGGCCCTGGGGGGCATGTCCAACCCCATCCACTAATGAGCCGCAGGCTGCAGGGGTGATGGAGTGTCTGGCTGAGGGCTAGGGACGGTAGCCAGGTCTGCTTCTTGGAAACTGGTGGGCTGTGCACAGACCTAGGACCCCTGCCCAATGTGCCAGAACCTGTGTACCCCTACCTGGCTATTGAGAGCTGCAAGCCCCTCTATCTCCTGCAGTCATGCCCAGATCACCCCAGAAGAGCCACTCACAGAGCTGGGGAGGGTAGTCTGCACCTGGCACACAGCCTGGCACGACCAGCAGCCCCACAAGCCTCCCCTGCTTGGCTTAACCCAGGGCAGGGCACAGTGGCTGTAGACTCAACCTAAAGCAGTAAGTCTCCAGGAGCTCCAGGGCCTGAGAGTGAGGGAAACTAGTCCAGAAGCCACCCATTCTCAAATTGAGGAATTCCTCAATGGCCTCCAAGTTCATCTGCACTGCAGGACACAGCCTTCCACCACTGACAGGTGACAAGAAGGAATGCCAAAGCCAGCAGGAAGCATCCTCCTCTCCCGCCCTGCAAGGCAGTGGCCTGCGTATACACAGATGCGTGGGTCAATGGTGTGCACCGAGAGGGACTGGCCCTTGATGGAACCCTGCACTGGCTGCTCCTGACCCCGGGACAGGAAGGCACTTACCCCGGGGTGACAGCGGGAGGGATGACCAGGATGGCCAGCAGTCGGGCCTGGTGCAGTGCTTCGGCCACATGGGTGAGCATGTGGATGAGGCCCCTGCAAAAACCAAGAGGTGGGGTCAGCCCAGGGAACCCAGGGCTCCCAGAACCCACTGCCTGGAGACAGAATGGATCAGACTTTGGGGCTTTCTTGTCTGATGGCGCAGACCAAGCCCCTCCACAGGACAGTCAGAACATGGGGCATTCCCAGCCCACTGTAGACGTGGCCCTCAGGATGGGGACCAGTGTGGGCCCACAAAGGGGGCTGAACGAGGTGGCTTTTCCCCACCTGGAGCCTATACAAAACACTTCTTGCTGCCTTTCCCCCGACTCATTTCCAGAGCAGATGTCCATGCTGTACCCAAGTGTGGTCAGAGAAAGAGCCCCAAATGACCACAGAGCCCAAGGTCCAGACCCCGAGGTGGGCCCAGCACATTGATCTAAGGGTGGCCTAGTCAGCCTCAGGCTGTGAAATGTCACGGGGTACTCTGACAGCTACCCAGGTAGGCTTCAGAAGGAGGGGCTGGGCCCCGGGGCTGGGTACCAGGTACACAGGGGCCAGCAGATGGGGGACCAGAGAGGGAGGGACCTCCAGAAGGCTTGCTGCTCGCCCCCAAGGCTGGGGCCTTTGTGCTACCTCCAAGTGTCCTTAAAACACACCAGACTAAAATGCTGAAAGGGGACCAAGGTCACTTGGCAAGGGGTGCCAGGTGCCTGGGAGCTACCATCAGTAATAATCAGCCCGCAGGGCATGGCCTGGAACTAGCCTTCCATGAAGACAGGCCTGTACCCACCCCCAGCCACTCTGAATGCGTGGACCATGAGGAGCCACTCCAGTAGGATGGCAGCAGCAATGTCCCTTCCAAGCTTCGCCAACAGACCCTCTGGACAAACCTGCCCTGGCCTGTGCCTAGCAGGCAGCTGTGTGACAAGAACCTACTCAGCTGACCCTGGGCCTGGCACGCTGGGGTAAGTCCAAGTAGGGGCTGGCAGGACAGACAGGCCTGGCCTTCCCCAGGAGCAGGCTGTAGGGTGGCGATGGGGATGATACCTCAGGGCCTGCAGCCTTTTTCCAAAGCTTATCATGCCACCTGTAGGCCTCAGTGACCTGGCACAGCTGGCACCCTCACTCTGCTGGGTTTGGGCAGGGATTCCCCTAGGCTTTGGTATTTGTCGGTGGAGACCCTGGACCTCCTCAGCACAGTGAATGGAGGTAGGCCTCTAGCTAGGACCAGCTGAGGCCACTGGCTGCTACCAGAGCACCCCCTGCAGCTCAAACTGCTGAGACCTCATGGGGAGAAGGGTCTCATCCCCTTCCCCAGGGGACTCTTGTGGGAGCCCTGGGGGACTTGGGAGCCCAAGGAAGGACCTGATACCAGCAGGCCCCCCAGACTGCCCACACAGCCCTTCCTAAAGTACCCACTGGCCACTGCACCAGGACAGCTACCCTGGTCCCATGGCGCTCTGGAGCAGAATCGGCAGAGCTGGGGGGATGGCTCCTGGACACCTCACTTCACTGAGAGGAGCTAACAGGCTGCCTCCCCAGGTCCATATGTCATGGAAACACAGCCAACCATGGCCTTGGCAGGCTGACCTGGCAGTTCCAAACCAGGCTCAATGCCCACAAGGTGACAGGTGGGGCAGGAGACAAAAACCAGAGCAGCCACCTCCTTAAGAGGCTGGGCTCATCCTGGGAAGCTGCTGCCAGGCATAGAATGCACAAGGAATCACCAGGTCAGTAGCCCTGCGACCCCCTCCTGACACGAAGGACTGGGTGGCTCTTCCCACCCCCACCCCCCACTGCAGCCCCTCCCATGGCTAGGTGCTGTGACTTCCCCAGCCTCCTGCTCTGGTATTAATGACTCGTTAGGGCCCAGACACAATGAGGCTGTGTCTCATTGCCCACTTAATGCACTGAAATGGAAATGAGTTATGACAAACCACAGTTAATAGAGCTGTCGTCCCAGGAGGAGAGAGAAGGATGGGAGCTGGAAATGTTTCCCGTGAGTGACCCCCTCCTTCACAGGGGCCTGAAGGTCAGCAGGGGAGGGCCCAGGGCCTGGCGAAGCTGTGCATGTGGGTAAGAGCCTCCCCACAACCCAGGCATGCCCTCACATACGTGGTGTGCCCCCTCATCTCCCCTCGTCCTCCCCACTTACCTTCTTTACCAGGCCTCCCAAGGGCATATCAGGGCCTATCTGGCTTAGGCCTGCCGAGGGAAGCCTGGCACATCTTTCATTCCTGCCCTGGGTCTCCAGCCCCACTGAAGCCTGGCATACAGCAGTACAGATCTGTGTGGGGCTGCTGCCTCCTGGCGGCAGAGCTGAGCCCTGCAGGCCTTCTGCCTGCAGCAGTGGCAGCACTGAAGTTGGCGAGGATGCCAGAGGAACCCAAGGGTGCCTGTGGGCTGGCAAGGCAGGACAGTGCCTCCCAGCTTGAAGCTGGGCCTTACACACCACTAGAAGTCCCTCAGGCAGGAAAGGAAAGGGAGAATAGCTGACTTCGGAACCTGTGTTTCTCTGGAGGTCACTGGATCAGAGAGCAGGCTGCAGGCCTCTGCCATGCAGGATATTACCACGGGCTGTACCAGCCTCTTCCGAGGGCATCAAGGTGGCACGACCCATGGTCATGGCAGAACCTTCCCTATAGCATCTTGCCTGCAAGGTGGCTACTGAGCAGGACCAGGAAGAGGTCTTTGCTCAGGGCTCTGGCCAGCCCTGAGCTGTCCTGGACCTGCAGGAGCTGTGGGCACATTCCAGTGCCTCTGCTCACCTTGCCAGGGTGTGGGGACCTATCAGGGAAGCAGCAAGGCGACACAAGGGTGCTGGGTGGCTTTTTCTCAGGGACTGTGGCAGCACCTGGGGCCTGGATGGCCCTTTCCCAGAGAATGTTGGGCTGTCACACGTCAGGTCCTCATTGCACCCGGCTGGCCTCTTCTCAGTTTGAAAACAATGTCTTTGCACCAAGCTACATCCCCAGCCCCCACTCCTTTTTTTTTTTTCCCCCCCCACTCCTTTTAAAATTTTTAATTTTGACAGTCTTGCTAAGCTGCCTGAGTGGGCTCAAACTTATAATCCTCCTGCCTCAGCCTTACAAATGCTGGGATTACAGTTGTGCACCACTACCCCTGGCGGCTGACTTCTTGTTAACATTCCAGGCGGGCTCTTGTGTACTCAGTGAGGATTTCTGCTGTGTCTGGCCCTTGGTCACACCATCTGGACTACCCTCCTCCTGCTGAATCCTTACGGGTCAGAATCCTCTATTCCCTTTACCACCCACCAGGGCCTTGAGGCTGGAACACAGACATGGCTACTCAGGGCTCTTCTGAGTTGGTCTCCACTGCTGGCATCCCATTCCCACCCAAGACAGAGACCACAGGTAGAAAGCCCTACTGGATACTCGCTCTCCCTGACTGCTAATCATGTCAGTCGATGTGACTGGGTTTAGAAACAAACGCCAGGCAGATGAGGGCAGCACAGTTCTATGTGTGTCTGTGAGGGTTTCCAGAGAAGACTGGTATGAAGGCCAGCAAACTGAAGGGGAAAACCCACCCCAGTTGTGGGGAGCACCAAGCAATAGGCTTGTAGCCTAGCCAGAATAATGAAAAGGAAGCAGAGGAAGCTGGCGCACTTCTGACAAGAGCTCCATCCTGCTCGAGCCAGTGCGTCTTTTGCTGCCATTGCCTTTGCAGTTCAGGCTCCATTTCCTGAGCTCTGATGTAGACTTGCCCAACAGCTCTCCAGGGAGCATCCAACCTTTCCACCTTGGGCCGATGCTGCGTCCTCAATCCTTCTCGTTCTGCAGCTCCCATCTTGGGCTGAGCAGCTCCTGGATCCTTTGGCTTTCCAGTGTGCAGACGGCCATGTGGAGCCCCCTGCCTCTGACTCTCTAAGCTCCCTAACAAATCTCTTTCTATAATGATAAACACACTTTTTGTTTATTCTGCCCCTAACAATATACCGTGCTCCCTCCTCTGGACCCTGCCAACTCTGGAGCCAGAAAGGGCCACGTGCAGCCACCTGCCCCCCCTCCCCCCAACTCACACGTGCTTCTGGCTCAGCAGCTGGCTCCAAACCTCCACCACGAAGCCATCAAAATGCTGGTTCTGAAAGAAATGGCAGCAGGTGAGGAGCAACAGGGACCCAGGAGGGACAGGAAGAAAGACACACACTCAGCCACTGCCCTGCCTGATTGGCAAGATCACAACCCTGTGCAGCCCCAAACCCCTCTGGAGGGGCAGCAGGGCCACGCCCATGCATTCACCTGCTCAAGTTCCACCACCCCTGCAGGCCAAGCTGCAGGCAGCTGCAGGGATGCTCCTCTCCAAGGAGGGCAGCAGAGGTCTGGCCAAAGACACAAGTCGCCCACTCTTGGGACTCCCAGATAACCTCCGGGATCAAGACGGAGTGCATGGCAGCCTGACCTGGGTTGGCACTGTCCTCAAATAGAAGACATGGGCTTGGTCAGAAGGTATCCAGGAAGAAAGCCAGGCAAAGCCACGTGTGGTGGTGCATGCCTGTAATCCCAGCACTTGGGTGGGTGAGGCAGGAGGATTCTTCCAAGTTCGAGACCAGCCCAGGCTACAAAGTGAGCTCAAGGCCAGCCTGAACTGCACAGCAAGACCCTCTCTCAAAAAAAAAAAAAAAAAAGCCAGGCAAGAGGAGCTAGTAAGGCCCTGGGAGAGTCCCAGCGAGACGTGGGAGGGTCCTGGAGGGAGCGGCAGGCTCTGTCTAGGAAGGCAGAGTCTGGTAGCTGTGCTGAGGAGCCCCACCTACACTCAGAGGCCGAGACACCCAGAGGTCTCACCTTTGCCACCTGTACCACAGTCTTGCTGAGCTCTTCTATCTCATCCTCGCTGTCTAAGACATTCCGGAAATCATCGTAAGTCCAATCCTCAAACAGAAGACGAGGCACTAGGGGCGGGGGCATGGACACACAGAGGTTGTGACAGAGAAACCCCAAATTACCCTCCTTTGCTTACTGGCCCCCCCAAAGTGTCCCCTTGGTTCTCAGAGCTGAATAAGAACAAAGATGGACGGGGATGCCACCCAAGACAGCTATAAGTCCAATATGGTTGCCCACATCAGTGCAAGCTGGGAAGGGAGGGATCTATCAGGGAAGGAGCAAGTCCTGCTGACAGCCTTCCCGCTCACCAGGTTTGATGAAAGGCGCTGGCTAGAACCCTGCTCCACTGGCTCCTGGCTGCTCACAGTCTGTCCACAGCAGCTCCACCCTCCACCTGCCCACAGCAGCCCCACTTGCTCCCGAGTCCTGGCCCAGACTCTGCACTCCCAGGGATAGTGCGCAGCTGGGGGTAGACTGAATCTCAGCCCCATCTCTGCCTGTGATGACACGCTCACTGCTGCCCAGGCTCTCAGTGCGGTGGGGATACATGCCCTCTGCTAGGCAGGGCCAGCTTCACCGTCAGGTCTGGCCTAGGGTTGGCCCCAGGGAGCTTGGAAGTGCTTACTAGATGGTAAAGGAAGAAACAGGAAGAATAGCAGGACTGGCCTTGATGGCCATGGCCTGTGCACATCACACTGGGGCCAGCCTCAGTCAGAGGTGTCAGAGGAGGGACCTGCACTTGAGCATCGTGGGTGGGCCCGCAGGAACCTATGAAAGCCTCAGGGCTTCATCCATCCCAGCAGGCAGTGCCACCTTCAGTGTGGCTGCAGCTGCCCCCGATGGCTCTCAGATCTGTGGGACTCACCTATGTGCAGGCCCTTGGCGTGCTTCTTCACGGCTCGCATCCAACCTGTGGAGTGTGGGGGGACAGTAAGTGCTGGAGCGGGCACCCAGCTGGGAGATCCAGCCCATCCAGGGAGGAAAACCTTCAGAACAGTAGGCATCAACACACAAGTGGAGCTCAGCCCGAGAGGAGAGGAGGCTGCAGGGAGAATCTCACTCTCCCCTGACCCAGGCACAGTGCTCCACCACCCCTTCTGCTGGCCATGCCCCTCCTCCTGGCCCACAGAGTGTCTCTGAGCTTACTCTTCCTCTGCCAGCACAGGGATGGTCTGAGTCAGGACAGCACCTGTACCTCATGCCATCCCAGGGCTGCTTCTCTGAGCTGAGGGCAGCCAGCATGCGCCAGGCATTTCCTGACCAACTGTCCTCTCCCCACAGTTCTCACAGCATCAGGAAAACCACTCATCTCAGAACTTCAAAGCCCACTGATGTGAGGCTCCATCCCATCCCTCCACACCGACAGGATGTGTCGGCAGCACAGCATCTCCCCTGGACTGAGTAGAAGAACCCGCTAAGGAAGGGAGAGGAGGGGGTGCTAGGACCTGCGCCCTTCACTGCTCGGGCCTGTTCCACATTCTGCATGCAAGGGAAGTCCTGTCACACAGGCCCCAGAGCCCCAGGGCCAAGATGGGTCCACAGAGGACCCCAGTGCTGGCACCTCCACCCAGCCCACCCTGCCCTGCTCCCCTGGCAGCCCTCACCATGGTGTCCATGCTGGGCTGTGTGCTGCTGAGGGTGTAGACCACATTCATCACACTTACAGCCACATCCACAGAAACATCTGCTATCACACTCAATATACTCAGTCACACACTCTCAACAGTGATCCCAGCATCACACACCCACTCCCACACTCACAGACATGCACTCTTCAGCGGAGGAACGAGCAGACACAAGGGAGGGTGAGCACCTTGGTCCACATCATGGAGGCCTGTGATCTCGAACATCTCCCGGCCACGCCTCTTCAGCTGTAGCCAGACGGGTGAGATGTGTGTGAACTTGTTCCCGAAGACCTTGGCCATGTCGTATCCATGGCTGTTCCACTGGCAGGGGAGACGGCAGACAGAGCACGTGAGCGCATCTCTGCTTCGTCACCACATCATCATTCTGGCTGCCCTGCACATGCATGCCGGGCCAGCTGGCCAGTGCTGATAGTGCTCAGCCTGGGCAGACATCAACCCTTGCCCAGAGGGCTCTCCTTCAGTGCTACAGAACCGCTGGGACGGCCACCTTAGCCTGGGATCCTGGCCCTGCCCCTTCACCAGGGATGATCACACTCATCTCTCCAAGTCTCATCCTGAGCCAGCCACCCTGAGCATGGTCACATGGCCCGAGAGTCCTCTAGACTCAGGGGGGATCTGCAGCCACGAGGCGCAAGGTCCAGAGAAATCCTGGCACCCTTCGCCCTGCCATCTCTGCAGCAGCACCTCTCTGCAGTCTCATAGCGGCCACAGTCCAGGGAGGTCAGCACATAAGGAGGCAGCCAGCACCACGGGTGGGGGCAGCCTGCTGGAGCCTCAGGGCCCCTGCACCTCGAGGGCTGGACTCACGGGAGTGATGTAGCCCAGGACATCCCCAGCGAAGTTCCTCTCCCGTGCCTTCGAGGAGCAGTAGCTGCGATGCTCGAGGACCACATCTTCAGCTTTGAGGTCTGTCACCACCAGACCACGATCTTGGACGGGCTTATCTGAAAGCTGTGTCTGAAACAGTAGGAAAGGGAGAAAGCCATCAGTATGCCTGCTCAGCATGGGACGTGGTGTCAGAACGGAATGTGCCATGGAACGTCTTGGTTCTGCCTCAGCTTGGTCTCTGGGTCAACACGGTGAGGATGGCCTGGAGACCTGGCAGATGGAGGACCAAGCACGGTGGAATCTTAGGTCTCACCTCTGGCCAGGAAGGGTGGGCTGGAAGGGCACCCACTCCTGTGTTCAGAATCCCTGGGACTGTTCCAAAGAACAGCATAGGTAGACAGTAGTTGCTGTCAGTGCTCACTCCCACTCTTTTTTGTCTTTTTTTGGTACTGGTGACAGAACCCAAAGTCTGCACGTATCAAGCAAGTGCTCTGTTCCTGAGCTACGTTCCAGCCCTCTGTACCCACCCCTCACAGGGCCCACTCAGACCATTCAGTGCGAATCTGGGCACCAAAGGCTGCACCTGTCAAGAACACATCTGGCCTGTGCAACCCCACTGGCCAAACCCCATGACCCCTTCCTGTGAACCTGCCTCCTTACCCAGACTCTGCTCCTGATGTCCTCAGCCGTGTTTACAACTTGCCGTTCTGTGCACATTCCAAGGTCCAGCATAGCCTCCCCGACTTGGCCTCCTCCCAACCTCATGCCACAGAGCCCGTGAGAGACAGATGCCCACTGTGCAGTCCCCTGCCCCAAGTCAGGGAGGGTCCTGTGACACCAGCCTGACTAGCAGCGTGGAATCGAAGGTCGGCTGGACTGGGCCCCTCCCTCGAGTTTACAATCCAGGGGACCCCAGAGAGATAGCACAGGGCCGTGCTGCAAGCTTGCATTAGAGGAGATAACACTGACAACACAGGAACATGAGCTGAGGCAGGGGTAGCAGATGGCAGCTGTCACAGGAGATGGGCCACATGGGGAAGAGGGTGCCATTGAGCAGGTTGCCACCCTCAGAACATGGCTCCAGGGGCAGCTGCTCAGAGCAGTGGCGGCTGGATGCCAGGGCTGCCCGGGCCACAGGCCAGCTGCCACCCACCTGCCAACTAACTGCAGCTTGTCCAGCAGCCTTTCTGTTGGTCCGGCTCACAGCCCCAGCCAGTGGGAGGAAGACGAGGGTGACAGGGAGGTCATCTCACATCCCCAGGCACCCTACCTTCTCCAGTAGTGTCTTCGAGGCAGCTTTTTTGGCATCTGACTTTGACAAGGTAGCACGAACAGAGCCCCAGGCCAGAGTGAGCCCAAGGATGGGGAGGATGGGGAGGAGCATCCGCATGGTGGGCGGTCACAGCACGGTCCACCTCCAGGGCCAGGCAGCTGCAGAGAGCAAAGCACATGGACAGCTGGCCACAGGAACACATGGTGGGGCCAGCATCCCCACTGCAGAAGCCAGCACTTGCCCTAGCAGGGTCTGGGTGCTTGTTCCGAGGACTAGGCCTTGGCCCCCGGAACCAGCCCTGCCCTGCACCAGTCCTGCTGGCTGGAGTCATCTTCAGCACTGCTGGGCTCCCTACCTGGACCAGCAGCTCCTCTTGGGTACCAGGCAGTTTTGTCACCACTGGCTACAGAGCCACCCCAACTGCCAAGGCTACCCTGACCACAGCCCACCATCTAGGAAAATGCTGGCTCCACTTCCCCTCAAACACAAGGAAATCTCAGGCACAGTGAAGCATAAAACAATGGAGCCATAGAAGGTTCCAGAAAAAACTGTGAAGACCTATTCACATAACCTCAGGGTAGGGAAGGCTTCTCCAACTGTTATCAGTATGGGAGATGGTAAAAAAGAAAATACTGCCAAAGTCTACTACATAAAAATATAAAACTTTCAAAGCCAGATACAGTGGCACACATCTGTACTGTTAGCTACTCAAGAGGTTGACACAGAAGAATCACTTGACCCTGAGTTCCAGGCCAGCCTGGGCAACAAAAAGTAAAATTTTTGTTGCTGTTTTCTGAGACAGGGTTTCACTATGTAGTTTAGGTTGGCACTGAACTCACTATGTAGCCAGGATGGCCTGCAACTTTCAGTGATCCTCCTGCCTCAGCCTCCCAAGTGCTGGGATTACAGGCTACTATACCCAGCTAACAAAAAATTTTCACTTAGGAAACAAAACAGCAAATTTAAAAGCAAATAGTAAGTCCGAAAATATATATTTGAAACATACCTGACAATGGATTTCTACCTGACAATCTATCTGCAATATAAAAAAAATTTACAAATCAAGAATAAAAAACCAGGGCTGGGGATATAGCTCAGTGGCATAAGCACCTGCCTGGCAAGCACAAGGTCCCAAGTTCAATCCCTGGTACGGCAAAAAAAAAAAAAAAATGCTG